CTTTTCTTTGTCTTTCTTGTCCTCTTCTCACCCCTAACGTACACACACACTTACACTACCACACACGTCGGGAGAGCAGACGGGAGCTTAGTGTTTCTCCAGGCTGAGGCGGTGCCCTGCTGATGAGAGATACCTGATTGGAGAAAACCCCGCAAGTCCACAGATAGGTTGGCGCCGAATCTTGTCATCCATGGGGGAGAGGTTACCGCCACCTTCTGTGATAAAAACAATCAACCTGATTCCTAAAAGGGAATTTTGGGGTATGCAACGCGATAAATATGTATATGATTTGTTACCGCACGAGAACAAATACTGTGGATAAATGTGAGGCCGAACTCACGAACCGAACCAGTTAGGTTGCTGCAGGCAGAACTTTGGTTCACCATTGTCTGTGTGTTACGATTTCTCAGGTCATTCACTGTTTTGTATTGTGTCAGAATCGCCCATGCCGCGAAGCAATATCTCGTCTTTGACGCCAGAGCTGCTTATCGGAACGCAGCTTGTTTATGTTAAAAGTCCGGGGTCCCCGCGGGAGAAGGCAGACTTGTTTCTGACTACTGATTGCTCGCACGCGCTCTGACGCATTGCTGCTGAAATAAAAAGAGGATTGTGCCGGAACTGGCGATAAAACTATTCAGTTTTCTTTTTCCTGTCATTTCTGACCAACGAGAACGATGATAAGGAACGGTCAACTTCTGAATCTGTATTTAAATTATTGTTTTACTGTTGACGATTTTCCGGGGTTTGTTTCATAATATCCAAAAATAGGAAAATATTTTCAATTTTTTCTGAAAGAAGTTTTAAAAACTGCTAGATAGAAAGACACCAGGAGAAACTATGAATTGTACGACCACTCGGATTTTTAACCGTAAATGGGACATGTATAATATTTTCGTCATCTGGTAAAAACTTCATTTTTTACCGGTGCGGGTGGTACTATTGCGTTCTTTTTCCTTTTTTTAAATTCTCCTCCCTTCGAGATGTTTGATATTGCATTAAAAACGATAATGATCTCGCCAGACAGTCCAATGTATAGTCCATGTCCTTTAAATATTTTATTTAAATTCTAGAAATCAGTTATGTCTTCAGAAAATAAAAGAAATATTATTGTTAGCAGTTATTTAAATTATGTACACATTTTCCATTTTTTGTTTGTTTTTATAAATCTGAGCCCAACTCTTTGCATAGATGCAATAGATTAACTATAAAGTATGGCAGGCATGCACGAGCCTCAGACATTTTTTTAAGGTCAACATCTTGGTCATATAGCGCCCACTGTGGTTTTTAAACTAAAGAGAATACTTAAGGACAACACACACACACACATACACACACACATTCGCACGCGTGCGCGCGCACACACGCCCGCACACGAACGCATGCGCGCACACACACGCCCGCGCACACACACGCCAGCACACGCACGCATGCGCACACACACACGCAAACATCCATGCCCGAGGCAGGATACGAACTGGCGACGCCTCGAGCCGAGGCAGTTACGGCCCTTCGGCCTTTACGACCTCGGCTATTCAGGCAGGCCGCACACAATTGGTCGGAGGCGTTGCTGGGGAACTTGCATAAACAATACGAGAGCATTGGAAATGTACGTCAACGATTTACCGAAACGTTTCGTATGGCTTTAATGCGAGTAGTGTTTGGTTTCTCAGATCAATACGGTGTATCCACATGGTAAATATGAACCGCTAGCGAAATAAAAACAGGTGCACTTAGTGTGAATTACACTGTCGGCAAAACTCGATTAATTCGATAAGCTTGAATCAATCTTTCTTACCATTAGGCTCTCAACATGCGAGTGAAATAGTCAAAAATTGCTATTTTTGTGTTTGTTGGTTCTAAATTTCTCATCGAAATACTGTTCTAGTGAACTAAGCCGTCATACAATTAATAAATATAAAACGGTGGGGTCTCAAGAGGCTGCAGTCCCTGAGTTGCAAAATGACACCGCAAAATAAAACAAATAATAGTCGAAAAATTAGCGAATGTTCACTGAAGAATCACAGTTATAATTGTTTATGTGTATTAACAAACGTGTATTATATATTTTACCTTTATTGATACAGCTAGTAAACAAGTTTAAAACGTACTGTAATAAATACACTTTCGTGTAAACATTTTTCTTAATTTTACATTTAAATCTGTGGTAAAACTACCAAAAACATTTTATCGCTGGTACGTTTGTGAATGTCTTTTGAATAATGCAAATGTTGCGAGTGCATCAGCTTAAGGCTCACGTTATCTGATAGCACACGTCTGACTTCTCACTGCAAAGCGGCACTTCCTAGACAACGATATCGGACTGTGAGAAGACCTGAAAGTGCATTTCCTAGTCGTTGAAGTCTTCATGTTGTTCGTTGCTCGTATTATTTGCAGGCATGGTAACCAATATTAATGGGTACGATCTGAATAGAATATTAAGAGCATTTGTGATTCGTACACCTTCAAAGTAAACAAAAATGTATTATACTTTACATCCATAGTTCACGTACAGTTTTTGCTGTTTTGGCAATGAATAAATACGCGCCATATTAACCATTCATGAATGAAACCATTATTATTACACATGCTTCTGAATTCACGTAATACATTGTTGTTTGGTAGCAAATGATAATGCTAATAAATTATGAATACATTTTGAATTGTATAGGCCTACTTTTTCTGCTGTTCTGCTGTGCTTTTTGTTCTGTGAAAGGCATTGTGCCGGTGCGACGAAATGCGAGTTTGTATGTCAGTGTTGTGTCGTCGAAGGTCATTTCCCGTTTTCCCATCTTTTTTTGTAACTTATTACTCTTCAGCCCAACAAACTGATATTAACAAATGGCTGTCAGTTCCATGTCGATCAAGAGGGATATACATTTTATACTTAATCTGTTGTTTTGAGTTTAGCTATCGATTCAAAGAGTGGCTGAGTAGTAAATACAATTTAAAAGAGAAGAAAATAGCGAACAGTTCTAGTTTTCAATTCTAACTACTTGGTTTTGTTGATACTTTTATTAGTCATTCAACTATGCATAGTAGAAGGATGGGAAGGTATTTAGGAGCTCTGCAAACGTTCGTATATTTATACTTTTCCCTCAAATGTCTTATGCCGATTTTACTATTTTTTGACGCAGATAAATCTAATTAAAGCAAATGAAATTGTTTTTAATTCAGTTTCTCTTCGTAATGGTTACGCTTTCTCAGGAAAGTATAGCTCAGTATATGCCGTTTTCGATCAGGTTTGATCTCAACATAATTGTTCAGGATAAGTGATTGCAGTTGTAAAAATCAATACCATTGCGTTCCACTAAATATTAACGATAGGTAATTTGTTTGTCGTTTCTGCCTCAGAGACACCTTTAACATGGTTTGGATTTTTTAATTTTATGGTATCTCTACTTCACCGGTATCACTCAGCACACTAATCGTGTCCAACCAGTGCTATTAATTCACAAATTTTCGTTTGTGACCCAACAATGTAGATTTTATCTCCGGTGACACGAGCAATATTGTCCGGTGACACGAGCACTGTTGTACCCAAGTTGGCGGGTTCAAACCCGATCGAAGCCGTGGATTTTTAAGGGCGAAAAAATCCTTCGTACGCCTTCCTTCGGAAGGGAAGTAAAGCCGACTGTCCCATGTTCGTAGATTTACATGCATGTAAAAGACCCTCAGGCCTAAATGACGCCTCTGAGCTGAATTCAAATCGCCTGTTTCTCGCCCAAGAAATACCTTCTTTCTCTGCTACATGAAAGGAGCGTAGCGAAATTTGCGTGGTCAGACGGAAGAGTGGGCCTGATGGCCCGAGTCTCGCAACGTAAAATAAGGCAAATTCAATCAATCAATCAATATGTTTACCGATCCGATGCACTGTAAGCTCAAGCTTCCGGACGTTATGAAAAAATAAGCCTTGTGCAAACTGCTGTGCAGCTTTGCACCCATTCTCAGTCGAATGAATATACAAAGATTTGCTCATCTCATTTTACAGTACAGCATGGTGTTTTTACCTAAATGACTTCTACCCATTACATAACCGAAGTCGGCTTGAAAACCTGTTTTAGATGTGAAAAAATAGAAAAGGAATCCTTTGTTTATATGGATCCACGTGGCCGCCATCGCAGTCTCGAGAAATCTTGAATAAGCATTGCGTTATAACTTGTTGGACTTCAGAATTGCAGATTAGGAGTGTTTTGATTTAACTTACCATTGATCGTACAAATCATGGCAAAATTAAATTCTCCAGCGCCTTTTATCTTTTGAGAGGTGTTTACAGAAGTTAAAATTATTTGTAGTCTAAGACTGATAAGGGCGTGATAAGGATTATTCGTTTTATCACGTGGGAACTCAAATACAAAAACGATGTAATCTTGAATCATTGTCAGACTCACTCATTTGCTGTTGCTTACAAATGATTCAGTTAATGAAGTTATAACACAGTGTTTTTGTCGCATGGTTGACCTTTGGAACTATTAATCCTATCAGAGATAAACCCTGCTTTGTTTTCCTTTTTTCCTCCGAAGTGATTGGGTGAATCCAGTGTGCACTCTTGCCCCGGCAGTCTTCATTAGACGTAATACGATAAAGAAAGACAAATATATCTAGCGAGCCTAGTCTTGTAACCGATCCAATATATATTTATTGACAGCCGTGGTGAGTGATGATCATGAGGGAATATATCTAGCAAGCCTAGTCTTGTAACCGATACAATATATATTTATTGAAGGATTTGGTGAATGAAGATGATGAGAGATCATGGGTACTGAATTCCGAAACTGCGAGACATGAAATACCAATAAATAATAAGAAATTAGCTAAGTTTTCTCCATATTTCCTCATTAGTTACGTTGATTGACGACAGTGTTTTGCTCAAAAGTAATTCAAAGGCGGAGTAAGTTCGTAGACCACTGTTCCATTCATGCATATGAGTGTGAGCACTTTATAATTATATAAAGTTTGTAATATAAATCATTTCTAAATATTTATGTTTCTCTTTGTTCCAGGTAAGCATCCTCTTAAAAAAAAGAAGTTGAAGTGTATACACGCTGGTACAGGAGTCAACTGATATCTCCGATTATCAGTATCTTGTAAGTCAACTTTTAATTTGTCTTTTGTACGGGCAATGCCTCCGCCTCTCTCTAGTCTTCTGTTTGTAAATGGCACTCCAGAGCGATGACCACCGCCAAATAATATCATCAAATAGCCTATAAAATGCGAAATTGACTGTAATCCTTTTATGGCGATATTGGTAAATTATTTTTTAGAAGATTGTGTTCTAGAAATCATTGCCAATACTGAAAGTTATTTTCTTATGTATACCTAATTGTGAGAAAATCCACACGTTCGTATATGACATTTTCAAGTTACGTGCTAGTAACTGCGATAGGAAATTCCCAAACGAAGCTGGTAAGCCTTCATTTGTTTGCTTGTGGATGATGATGCTGAGGAGGATTTGTGCCATACTCATTACAGAGCGAAGGAGTCTTACTTTGTCCTCTTTTCCCGGAAAGGTGATCATAGTGGTTATTTGCGTTTCCTTCTACTGCATGAAAGACAGCACAGTTCATGAGAGGGGAATGCTGATGAATTGTAAATGATTATGGCTGTGATGACTGCAGATAGCGTAAGCTATAATAGCATCAGAAGTCAACCATCAGTGTGGGTCAATATTTACCTGGTCGCCTACGCAAAAAACGTGAATTTCGACTTTACTAATTTTCTCTCTAGAATTGTAGTTATCCATTTACCTACAAAATATCGGTGAAACTACTTTCCATCCTTATTGTGTATACATCACCAACTATACTCTCCACTTGCATAATCGTTGCCTTCTGCTATTCAGAATTTTCAATCTGGAAAATTAATGGCTACTTTGAAGAAATTCTTGTATGTATATTATGTGCATTCGAAATGGATTTCCAATACCAGATGTTTATTCTTATCCCGAAAGCAGATTCTTCTGGCTTGGTGTCAGTATACCGAGGTCACTACTGCTGGAACCTTTAATCCGAGGAGTTTTTCGCAGCACTGCGAATGCTTCGCGACTAGATAGCGCAATTGTTGGAAGGCAGCAGGACTTCGACTTCATGTCACGTGACCCAAACCACTCCTCGCTGCTGACATCTTTAAAAAACTGTTACGCAGCAAAAGAGTGCGCTTTTTCAAACAAACTGACGTTTTTTTTAGTTTATTATATTGTATCATTAAAATATCTAATTGAAAATAATACATTTTTTGTTTCTTTTTAATGTCGATAAACAGTCGGCAATGTATATAACGTGCGGTGGGGCAGAAGGCCAGACTTTGCACATTTTCATGAGCTCGGGAATCTCTGCCCTAACTCTCATATGAAGCTGAGTTATGAATTCAGGAAGGAACGAGCTTTTTTGGCAAGAAATTTTAAGGAAATGTTCGCCGCTTGTTATAAAAACTATTTGCAAAGACAGTTGAGTGCAGATTTTAAATATTATCCCTTATTATTCCGCGCGTGAAGAAATCGACGAGAATTAATTATTTAAGTACGATTATTCGAATAATGGTGGGCAATATTTCCCTCTGAGTTCAAGAAAACGTGCACAGAGAGTGAAGCTACATGTATGTCCAGAAGCAAAACAAGGGCCCCTCTCACCGTCCTCTGCATGGATCAGGAAAACAAGACGAACTACCTGATAGAGAAGAGGGTCATTGACCCAGAAGCTAAAGTATATTACTTGAGGTACATTTGAGTGCTTTATAACTGTCGTGATGGTTTTATTTCGTATTAGAATTCTCTGCATTTATTTCCTTCATTCCTTTTTTTTATTTTTGGTGTGATTTTGTTGATTTTTGGGACGAAATCGAATCTCTTTTGTTTTTGTAACACTCTGATTTATTTTAATTCGAAAGATTTTTAGGTACTTAACAGAAACCTGAGCGACATTTTTATTGCACATATGGTGTTAAGGTATATTCTGCCAAAAAAAGTCCCATTGAGCTCAACCCGAATTGAGAGTGACATTTGAACGTCGCTTGAAAATATCCTTCCACGAGAGTTCAGCCAGCTGGGCGAGAGCCAGATGATCGGCGAACTATGTTACCTCAAAGAGAATGCATGTTATCCGTCATTCACAAGGGTAATGAATTGCAAATAAATAATTAGAATAATGAAAGTTTTCTAGATAAGAGAGCTGTTTGTTTGTTTTTCTTCTTTGATGTAACTATAAGAAGGAATAACTTCTACTAGATCTTCAGAAGACTATCAAGTTACAAACAATTGATATTGGGAATAGCGTTCGTCATTATGAGGCATTTCGCACTTGCTCTACTGCTGCCGGTCTGCCCAGCCCTGTTTCTACCTCCTGAGTTGTGAAACTAATCAAACACACCTTGCAATGTCCTAACCATTTTATCAGGCGTCGTGGCTTATGGTAGCGTACGCACCCGTGAAACAAATATCAAGGAACACTAAACTTAATGATTCATTGAAATCTCGTCCATTCTTTTGCTGTGCTTCCATTTTGCAGGAACGAAAAGAAAATAGTGTGAAAGAAACAGCGCCTCAAAACTTGGCACAAAGCAATCTATCAATGCGTTTTTTTTCCGCTCGCCGCTTCTCTCAAAGAAGCTAAGCCAATCCGTGCGTCGTTGAAGCAATACATGCGTTTCACAGTACCTCCATAAATGGCTGCTCTTTACGCGACGTTACTTAAATCTTGCATTCCTGTAAGTACATCGCCATTCCAGATGGGACGCTCTTACAAGCGTGGCATTGCCCACCGATCAGCTGGCACCGACTCAGCTGGCGCGAGCGAGCAGCTGGCTCAAATCCCGCCGGGGGATATTTTCAAGCCATCTGCAAATGTCACTCTAGCAACGCCGCTAGGCAATAAGTATCTTGTTACGTTTCTTACGGCAAATAGCTCTAGTACTGTGTGTCCTGTTGATTTTGCGGCGACATTATTAAAGTCGTGTGTGCTTCTTGAACCATTACACCGCAAGTTCAGACCAGGGTACGGTTGTGCTTGAAGCCCCGTAATAGAAGCAGCATTGCGCAGGCAAAAAGTCGGTGGAACTTTCCTAGCCTTGTGTGCCACGTGATATTAAACATTTGTTCTTCAGTTCTTTTCTGACGTAAAGCTTCAATTAGAAATACCATGGTCATCTATTCCCATGAGTTTTCAAGTTCAAAGGGTTATTTCATTGCATCAAAACATAATTAATTAAAATATCACAATGCCAGATCCATTCATTTCCTATCACAGACGCTGTCAATTATTGAATTAACTTCTTGAAGTCGCTGAAAAGTTACCAATGATTCCAAGAATACGCTATTTTGCCCGGCGATACTTACAAACAAGACGTAGGCTTTCGGTAACGAAGGTTTCCAACGTTAATTTTTTAATTCGTGTAATTGTCACGCCAATAAGAAATTGAGCAGTCTCAAAATAATTCTTACTTCGATCAAATTTACAGAAATCGCTGTTCGTATGGAAGAATTATTTATACATTTTAAGTATTTATATAAACGTGAGGGGTGGGGTCTTTTGGCTTATCACTTATGCACTTAACGCACTTGATGCAGATTATGCACTTATGAACTAATAAAAAAATTGTTTTAAAGTTGGGGGGGGCGTTGGCTATCCAGCGGTAGCCCTGAGAACACGTGCTCGGTCTGCTTATGCATCAGTTGGCCCCTGGCTGCCCCGCCAGATGCCCGGCCCCGTTGGACCTCGTCTGCTTGCGGCCGATTCGCCTCGCCACGGGTCGCATCGGGCGCCCTCTGCGCACGCGCAGGGCGAGCGAGTCGTTGACCCAGGCGCAGGCGCAGTGGTGCGGGGTTGCGCAAGCTCTGGGCGCCCGGCCTTCGTTCGGGGCGCAGCCGCCGCCAATCGGCGCAACAATCACTGGCGCTGCTGCGGAAGACTCTGCAGGTGGCCAGACGTACCTGCAAGGAGCGACAGCACGCTATGCGTCGTGTTATGACGAACAAGAACATACGAAACTAGCTGTAACCTGTCAGAAATAACAGGACAAAATTCAACTTTCAGATTAATATTGAATAAAAGACTGACTGTAATAGATTTAAGAAACCCATGTTTCGCAAATTAGATTTTTTTTAAACTGAAAAACTTACTTTTCTGCAACTGTTCTATAGTTAATGAAGAAAGAAAAGGACAAAACAATAAAACACGAAACTTATTTCATAGTTCCTATATTAATAAATCGCTTATAAATGAAGATATAAAAGAATATTTATTATTTATTTTTCCCTAGCTGCAAAACTCAAGTGACCCGCCCCTGAAAATGAATTTAAGGAATGCCACCTGTCGGTGCTGTATTTTCTAACCCCAAACTCTCCAACTGATTGACTTCTTCAGGTCGTGTACGACCCCTGGAGATCCACAAGGGGCTTCAATAGCAAGAAGGTCAGGGGCTTGCCATCCCTTATACTTCTGCCTGTCTCTGTTTCCTGTCTCTTGGTTTACTGCACCTCTCCTCACCTGTCTGTCCTACGTGTTGCGTATAATATCTGTCCAAGTCGTTCCCGGTATTGTCGTTATTTCTTTGATTCATCGTGTTCTCTGGCCTCCTCTTTTCTTTTTTTCCACCTGTCTGTCCAACATCAATTAATGTCCATCACCCCTTTCCTGTGAATCATTCCTTATCATAATATATCCGAAGTACAATTTAAATTTTGTGGCTATTACCTCCGAGGAGTGTCTAGGTTTTACCTGATTGATTATCGATAAATTAGTTTTCTTCTGTCCAGGACACTCTTGAATTTTCCTCCATGGCCAAAGCTCAAAGCTGTCTAATCTGTTTTCTCCCAAACTACCAGCCCCTTAAATCAGACACTCCCTAGCTCCAGAATTGCGCACCGCGAAAACTACCCAATTTCAACGCCAGATGACGTTCCAGTAGCACCAATAGCACCTGTGATTTCATAGCGACCCAGTCGGTTTTTATTTTTTGATTATGGGGATGTTCTATCAGAATTTTTTTGTGACATATCCTTAAACCATAAATAATAATTTGCAAAAAGAACAGTTTCGATCCCAGTTGTTTAGGCTTTACGTTACACTTTGCACGGACGCGGCTTTACAGAAGG